ATATAGAGATATAGAGATATAGAGATATAGAGATATATATTTTGTGTCCTCTCACCTGTCTGTTGGACGGCGAGGCGTCTCTGACTTTGTGTGCCACGGTGGCGAGGACGGAGACGAGCCAGCACTGACGGTCGAACTCTTCTCGGAGACCTCGACCGACGCAGCAGAGCAGAGCGGCCAGAAGGTGCTGATACCGAGCACTGAACTGACTGTCCTGCAGGTTGTCCTTCAGCAGCCTGAGAGACAAACATGATTAAACCTGGTTTAACTAATCCCAACTCTAGATTTGTGATCTGACCAACAGGGATTTATATATATGCGACATATAAAATTAATGATAAATCAAAATAATAAAATGATTGTTTCTGTGTGATCAGCTGACCAGAAGAGGTAGTGAGCGATGCGAATGTCCCCGATGGCTCTCCGTAGGAGGAACCGAACCAGAGAGCTGTCGAGGTAACACTCGTACTTCAGAGCCTGAGACACAGACAGAAAACAGTTATACTTGTAGATGTGTTACACTTTGTTCTCTCTGCAGCTGACAAAATAAAAGCTTCTCCTGTCAGCTGACAAAATAAAAGCCTCTCCCGTTAGTTCTCATCTGACCTGGACGAGCTGAGGCAGGAAGTCCAGTAGCTCTGGATCTGAGATGGAGTCCATCCACTGAACAGCCGTCCTCCTCAGCTCCTGGTCCGGAAACCTGGAAAACACACACGATGATGTCACTCATGTTATCACGATGATGTCACTCGGGTGAGCGTCAGCGAGCGGGGGAGGCGTTGTACGTACGAGGCGTGGAGGAGTCCCAGGGCGTCCTGGTGACCCAGACAGGCCCACTGTCTCAGTAGGGCGTAGATGTCCGGCAGGCAGGCCCACTCCCAGCAGGGGGCGCTGGCCAGGACCAGAGGAAGAGCTGCACTCTCTGACTGACAGAAGGCCTTCTTCTCCCAAAGAAGACGCCTGTCCTCCACTGTCAACCTGCACACAAAGAGACACATGAGGACCTTCCATCTTCCTTCCTTAAATTACAGTTACATTCCATCAGATATCCGTGTGTGTGTGTGTTTGTCTCTGACCAGAAGACAGCCTTCTTGTGGAGGACGTCCTGCAGCTGGATCTGACTGATGGTGTCCAGTCTAGAGAAGTCATACTGAGGACAGAAGTCTGCCGGAGGAGGAGTACTGAACAGGACCTCGAACGACGAGGTGGGGAAGTCCACCTGAGAGACAGACAGAGAGAGAGAGAGAGAGAGAGAGAGAGAGAGAGACACAGAGACAAGATAAGAACTTGTGACCCTTTAAAATGAAATTTGTTTGTCTGTTTCTGGGTAACTAAACTGAATCAAAACCCTTGTATGTGTTCACATTTATGGACAATAAAGCTGATTCTGATTAATGAGGAGATTCAAGTTTCAAGTGTCCAAAAAAGACAAAGAAATGAATAAAAAGAAGAATATATTGTGACCCTCCAGAGCCATAGAATAAATTATACAACATATATCATCTAAAACATGAGGAGTAAACTGAACTTAATGTGGAATACTGGTGGACTGTCCCTTTAAAACTCTGTGTGTGTGTGTGTTCTCCGACGTCGTTAACCAGGCAAAAACAAACAGATCCTGAATCAGTCGACTGCACTGAAACAAAGAGCCAGAGATGTGTGTGGGTGTGTTATACTGACCTAGATGTGTGTGTGTGTGTGCGTGTGTGTGTGTGTGTGTGTGTGTGTGTGTGTGTAGTCATTCTGTTCTGGTAAATGACAAAGCTGGGTTTTGTAGTTTGCCAGCAGGTGGAGCCGATTAAGATACTTAACATCCATTAATACAATTAGAAATTATAGAAAAAGATGCTGCATTACATCATGTTTTTAATTTTTCATGGTTTTAGTGCATTAACTTACTGAATTT